CTTATTCAAGTGCACTCGTGATCATCCCGACATGGCAGTGGATCTGTTGGATACATCTTCAACTTTATCTGTTGTGTCTTAACAAAGGGCCTATATGTATCTCGGAGATACGTAGTCTCGATCCTTTTTTTCCGGTCTATCCTCTCGTCAATCACATAGTTATGTAGGTTTTCTGTGCCCACATTCATTTCTTATTTCTAGTTTTTTGTTCATTCCTTCAGTTCATATGCTTTGTTGGCAATGCAATCTACATTTGCATGCAAGCCAGTTCAACTCTGTATTCAGTTGCAGGTTTATTGATATTGGGGATGGAGAGAGAATATTGAGATCACGAAGGAAATACCAGACAAGGCAAAATTTGTAGAAGTCTATAAAATCTTGATAGCGAGTTGAACTAGCAAGCAGAGACAATAGGATAACCGGTATCAACAGAGGAGAGAGAATTCGACTTCGTGGTTACAGCGACTGGCTATTGGAAGATATAGTGGTGATGAGTAATTGGTTTGCAAAAGGGGATAATACTGTGTGCAGGTTTCAAGGGGCTGTTGTCAGCAAACAGGGGTTTCAATACGGAGCAGGAGAGGCATTAATTTCAGACGTGGGGAGAGGAATTGTGTGGGATGCTGTTGTAATTGGCCTTGGGAAGTGGAATAGTGTTGTTGTTGTCATTGTAATTAGGCCTGGGGAGTGGAGTAGTGTGTGCTGCTGTTGTAATTGGGTTGAGGAGTGGAATAACTGGACTTCCGCTACAAATGAGTATGAGAAGTGGAATTGTGCATGCTGCTGTTGAAACTGAGATTTGGGAGCGAAATTGTGTATGATGCTATTGTAATTGGGCTTGGGGGAGTGAAATTCTGTTTGCTAGTTGCTGTTGAAATTGGGCAAGAGGAGTAGAAGTGATACTTCCACTATTTATCTATTTATGTTGCGGCTGAAACCAAATATAGGGGAATAGATCTCATTATTCTGCTGATGTAACTGAGGCTGGGAAGGTGGTATAATTGTTTACGCTTGTTGAATGTAATTATGGCTTATGTTGCCACGATGGGCCACTTGGGTTCCTCCTCACCTCACTTCGCCTGTGCCGCCTTATCGTCTCTTGAAGACACAACTCTTTTTTTCAGTCATATACCACTATCTCTCTAGAAGCATTTACACGGACAAGAAGCCGGCGGCTTGTCGAAAATTCATCTCCTTTTCCATCCTTCCCCTAGTGGTGCTACCTTGGTTCTTTTTCTCTTTATTTGAAGCAATAAATAGAATCTGCATATATGGATATATGGATTCTGTGTGTTGACCCATCTGACACCTTTGTCCCCCTGTCTTCGCGTACCACCATTCATGAATGAATGTCGTTATCTGCCCTGTATATTGTATGTGGTAATCATGTTCGCTATGAGTCTACTAACTGCCAGGGTCGTGAAGTAAACTTTCCTCGTGCCTCTCGCCTCTAAGCTCTGGCACGAGTCTACATGGATACATTGGGGCCTTTTCCTGCTTCATGTTATTCTTAAGGAGATGAAAATCTGACTCTAATCCCGCATTCTACAGAACTTAATAAACATGAATGAGTAAGTACTGTGTTTGTGTGTTCACTTACTGCACCTATTTTGTACCTTAAGAATCGAGCTGTTAGTTCTTGGACCCCGCCTTTCCAACCGTCTAATGAACTGCCTCATGATCTGATTTCTCTTTCGTCTGTACCTTACCTTTCTCAGCCTATAACAAACACAAACAAACACATCCCCAGGTGGCAGCGTACAACAGCTGTCTAACTACCAGGTTCTTATTTACCTGGGCTGGAGTTGTTGCTGTTGCTACCTCGTTGGCACCTGTGGCTGGAGGCGCTTGTTTGGTCTTAAACTGTTAGTAGATAATGGTGTGGGAATTGATATGGAGAAAGGAGACAATACAAATATGTGTTGGTGGGGGGGAAAAAAAGGGCAAAATAAACAGGGGAAAAAAGGGCCTCAAAATAGTAGTAGTAGTAGGCATCCATCAGTCTCAGGAGACTATGGAGTTGTGCTCTGGTTGTCGGTCTGGAGTGGCCTCACCACCTCAAAATAACAATACACTTAAGGTATATTACATATCTTAAGTATATTACATACCTATTACACGAACAGTAGGAGTCTAAGAAACAAAACAAACGATTTAAATGCTCTTGTTTACACTAAAATAATATATATTATTGCACTTACCCAAATATGTATGAATGTAGAAAACAGAGAACTATTTGCTGAATATCATATAAACGGATTTAAAAGATTTCACACAGATAGATATATTAAGCAGATAGATATAATAGAATAGGCACAGATAGATATAATATAATAGGCATAGATAGATATACTAGAATAGGCACAGGTAGATATAATAGAAACTATTTGGAGGTGGGGGAGTAGCCATATATGTTAGAAAAAATTTGAAATGGTCTCAAAGAGGGAATCAAAACTGAGCCACACACAAAAACTATTTAGCTCGAATTAATCGGAAAAGTTAAAAATCTTATAATAGGAGTTATATACAGGCCATCATTTTAATGCCCTAAGAATGTTTTTGGGTGAAATAGATTGGAAAGTCCTGGGCATGGGGGGGGGGGCCGGTCTTGGAGCGAGACGTGAACCTAACGATGGGTGATGTAAAAAGGGATTTCGATGTGGATTCAAAATATACTTATTTAAAAATATTCTAAGTAAAACACAGGAACGTAGTATACCATACAAATTGATTAAATCGAATAATAATGACCTGAAATGGATAACAAAGGATCTGTGAATAACCTTACAGGTAGAGAGAGAGCTTGGCACAAAGGGATTAAGAATGGGGAAGTCAGTTTAGAACAAGAATTCGTCCAACTGTTAGAAAAGAGATAAGGAGGGCAAAATGAAACTATGAAGGTCGCATAGCACGGGCAAGCAAAGACAATTGCTCGGTTAAGTTTGAGTTGGAAAATGTTGTAAGTGGAGTGCCTCAGGACTCTGTCCAGGGACTTCAGTTATTCATAATATATAAATTATTTAGATTCAGGTCTGAGGAGCAATATTTGCAAATTTGCCAATAATACAAAAATAGGGAAATAAACACGGAAAAAGATTCACTATCACTTCAAGACGATTTAAATAGGGATTTGAAATGGTTTAAAGACTAGCAGATACAGTTTAATGCTGACAAATGTAAGGTTTTGAGTCAAGGTAATGATTATAGAGTTACAAGATACGAACTAGATGGAGCTGAGATTGCGAAGTCGGATTGTAAAAGGAGTCTGGGAGTTATGATTACTGAGAATTTAGAACTTAAAAATTCATGCACATATGTTCGTAATAAGGTAAATAGAACACTGGGATTTATTTATCGAAGCTTTAGTCATATGACACCTGGTGTTGTTCTTCAGCTATATCTTGTTCTTGATAACAAAGTGGATAAGGTATTAAAAGTATCAACACAAGACAGATCACGAAACAATGGATATAAATTGGATAAGTTTAGATTTAGGAAAGACCTAGGTAAATACTGGTTCGGTAACAGGGTTGATGATTTGTGGCACCAATTACTGCATAACATAATAGAAGTAGGATCCCTTGATTGTTTCAAGCATAGGATTGACATATATATGAATTGAGATTGAGTGGATACATGTAGGAGCGGCCTCGTATGGGCCAATAGGCCTTCTGCAGTTACCTTCATTCTTATGTTCTTATTTACTGCTAGGTGAACAGTGGCATTAGGTGAAAAAAATTATGCCTAATTGTTTTAGTCTCGGATGTGAATAAAGTCCAGGTTCTTAGAGTGTTAATGGCAGACGCTCACTGCAAGCGTCCATACAGCCGCGCGCGTGTGTTTGCTTCCACAATGTGCACCTTTAGTTCATATTATTTCCCACAACTCTCACGCTAAAAATAACCTTTCTAACATCTCTAGGACTCATTTGAGATTCCAGCGCCCACCCATGTCCTCTTGTTCTGCTGGTATTCCGTGTGAACATTTTGTCTATTTCCACTCTGTCAATCCCCCTAAGTATTTTGTATACTGCTGTCATATCTCCCCGCTCCCTTCTTTATTATAACGTCGTCAGGTCTAGTTCCTTCAGTTGCTCGTCATATCCCATCCCATGCCACTCCGGGACTTGCCTCGTTACAAATTTCTGAATGTTTCCAAGTTTCCTAATGTATTTCTCTAGGTGGGGACTCCATGATGAGGCTGCATACTGTAAGACTTGTCACACGTAGGCAGTGTAAAGCGCTCAGAATGCCTCCTTATTTAGGTTTCTGAATGGACATTCTAACTTTTGCTAGCGTAGAGTATACAACTGTCGTTATCGGATTTATATGTGCCTCAGGAGTTAGATTAGGTGTTACGTCCACTCTCAGGTCCCTTTCTCGAATTGTCAGAGGAAGATAGTTTCCCTTCAAGGTGTACTGACCCGTTGGTTTCTTGTCACCTAGTCCCATTTCCATAACTTTTATTCTTGCTATTGTTGGACCCCAGCAGCCATTTCTCTGACCATCTCTGCAGTTTGTTCAAGTCCTCTTGGAGTATCCTACAATCTTCTTCTGATACAACTCGTCTCATCAATTTCGCATCATCCACGAACATTGATACATAGGACTCGACTCCTGTAGACATGTCGTTCCCTTGTATTAGAAATAGAACTGGTCCCAACACGATCCTTTAGGTGCTCTACTCGTTATTGTTCGCCACTCTGACTTCTCGCCCCTGACTGTTACTCTCTGACTCCTGTCTGTTAAATAATTCTTCACCCAAGCTAGTGCTTTCCTGCTTACTCGCGCCTGCCTCTCAAGTTTGAATAGCAGTCTCTTGTACGGTACTGTGACAGAGGCGTTTTGGCAGTCCAGAAATATGCAGTCTGCCCATCCATCTCTGTCCTGCCTTATTTTTGTTACTTTGTCATAGAATTTCAGGAGGTTTGTTAGGCATGATTTCCCTTCTCTTAATTCATGTTGGTATTTATACCCTTGCGTCGACCCTTGTTTATACAAATGTTTGGACCTTTGCTTGCTTGGCCCCAAGCAAAGGTCAAATCAAGGGTAACGGCAAAGGTGCCATGCAAGCAGGCCAAGCAAAGGGCCAAGCAAGGGTCCAAAACAAGAGGTAAACCACAGGTCAAAGCAAGGAGTCCAAGCAAGGGGTCCAAGCAAAGGGTCCAAGCAAGGGGCCAAGCAAGGGGCCAAGCAAGGGTCCAAGCAAGAGTTCAAGCAAGGGTCCAAGCAAGGGTCCAAGCTGCTGTGGTGTTGCCAAAGAAACACCACAGCATCGCCACAGCATCGCCACAGCATCGCCACAGCATCGCCACAGCATCGCCACAGCATCGCCACAGCATAGCCACAGCATCGCCACAGCATCGCCACAGCATCGCCACAGCATCGCCACAGCATCGCCACAGCAGCGCCACAGCATCGCCACAGCAGCGCTACAGCATCGCCACAGCATCGCCACAGCAGCGCTACAGCATCGCCACAGCATCGCCACAGCATCGCCACAGCATCGCCACAGCAGCGCCACAGCATCGCCACAGCAGCGCCACAGCATCGCTACAGCAGCGCTACAGCAGAGCCAAAGCAACACCACAGCAGCGCCACAGCATCGCCACAGCAGCGCTACAGCATCGCCACAGCATCGCCACAGCATCGCCACAGCAGCGCCACAGCATCGCCACAGCATCGCCACAGCATCGCCACAGCAGCGCCACAGCATCGCCACAGCAGCGCCACAGCAGCGCTACAGCATCGCCACAGCAGCGCCACAGCATCGCCACAGCATCGCCACAGCAGCGCTACAGCATCGCCACAGCATCGCCACAGCAGAGCTACAGCATCGCCACAGCATCGCCACAGCATCGCCACAGCAGCGCCACAGCAGCGCTACAGCATCGCCACAGCAGCGCCACAGCAGCGCCACAGCATCGCCACAGCATCGCCACAGCAGAGCTACAGCATCGCCACAGCATCGCCACAGCAGCGCTACAGCATCGCCACAGCATCGCCACAGCAGCGCTACAGCATCGCCACAGCATCGCCACAGCAGCGCTACAGCATCGCCACAGCATCGCCACAGCAGCGCTACAGCATCGCCACAGCATCGCCACAGCAGCGCTACAGCATCGCCACAGCATCGCCACAGCAGCGCTACAGCATCGCCACAGCATCGCGACAGCAGAGCCAAAGCAACACCACAGCAGCGCTACAGCATCGCCACAGCAGCGCTACAGCATCGCCACAGCATCGCCACAGCATCGCGACAGCAGAGCCAAAGCAACACCATAGCAGCGCCACAGCAGCCTTTAGGCACTGTCAGCATATTTCCCTTAAGCTGTCTTAGTCAAAGGTCAGAGCAACGTTTTAAGGTAGTAGGAGCTGTTATCAATACTTTGGAGGCATAACAATCTCTCTCTCTCTCTCTCTCTCTCTCTCTCTCTCTCTCTCTCTCTCTCTCTCTCTCTCTCTCTCTCTCTCTCTCTCTCTCTCTCTCTCTCTCTCTCTCTCTCTCTCTCTCTCTCTCTCTCTCTCTCTCTCTCTCTCTCTCTCTCTCTCTATATATATATATATATATATATTTTATATATATATATATATATATATATATATATATATATATATTATATATATATATATATAATATATATATATATATATATATATATATATATATATATATATATAATATATATATATATATATATACATATATATAATATGTTGGACTTGAGGAAATAGTTCGCACGAAGCCCAAAGAAATTCTCACGGAGCGGAGGGTAAATATTGTCTTCACTCAAGAGGTTGCCGAGGGCCATCTGCCCTCCTGAGGATGCAAATAGTAAGGTTAGTTTGTGAAAGTGGAATGTGGTGGTGAGTGGGAGGTGAGTCCAAGGAGATGAGTGATGTGGTGGTGAGTGATATTGTGGTGAGGGGGAGGTGCGTCCAAGGAGATGAATGATGTGGTGGTGAGTGGGAGATGAGTGCAAGGAGATGAGTGATATTGTGGTGAGGGGGAGGTGAGTCCAAGGGGATGAGTTCGAAACAAGAATAAACACGTACCCATCATACATGCTCTACAAATATTAACTAATTAACTATTAACGGAATTAACCATCAACCAAACCAAGTATCAACCACACAAATATATGTATATATATATATATATATATATATATATATATATATATATATTTATATATATATATATATATATATATATATATATATATATATATATATATATATATATATATATATATAATATGTCGTACCTGGTAGCCAGAACGCACTTCTCAGCCTACTACGCAAGGCCCAATTTGCCTAATAACCCAAGTTTTCATGAATTATTTGTTTTTCGACTACCTAACCTACCTAACCTAACCTAACTTTTTCGGCTACCTAACCTAACCTATAAAGATAAGTTAGGTTAGGTAGGGTTGGTTAGGTTCGGTCATATATCTACGTTAATTTTAACTCCAATAAAAAAAATTGACCTCATACATAATGAAATGGTTAGCTTTATCATTTCATCAGAAAAAAAATTGAGAAAATAAATTAATTCAGGAAAACTTGGCTTATTAGGCAAATCGGGCCTTGCATAGTAGGCTGAGAAGTGCGTTCTGGCTACTAGGTACGACATATATATATATAAATATATATATATATATATAATATATATATATATATATATATATATATATATATATATATATATATATATATATATATATATAATATATACTGTTCTAATATATTGCTTATTATAATACTGTTGTTATTGCCATATATATATATATATATATATATATATTATATAATATATACTGTTCTAATATATTGCTTATTATAATACTGTTGTTATTCCCATTTTACTCAATGATTTACGAATGCCTTCATATAGAGAAGTGGATTATTGTGCAATAGTTAAATACAGATGACATTGTTGCATATTGCAGTTATGTCTACATATTATATATTATTAATATGAGATGTTCCTATAATATTGCATTTCTGCAGTAACTCAGGTTGGTAATGGGGGGATGGGGGAGGGGGTTGTTTTACTGCCAGAAATTGGGGGAGGGGGCACAAGAATGAGTTGTCCCTTCCCCCTCACCTAGTGATAGAAATATTGTTTTATTTAGTTCCTTGTACTTGTTTAGTAATCTATTAAAAGGGGGATATAATACTGGAATGCTATTAACACCTGTGGTAATTAACATGAACGTATGTATGTGAAATAATCACCTGTCATGTGGAGTCTGTAATTATAGTGAAGATTATACCGCTTCTCAGTTGAATGTTGTCTATGTGTCAGTGATCTCCTAAATGGATCGTCTTGGTAGTTAAGTTATTTAGCATAGACTGTACGGCGCGGTCAAGTGGGGGGGAGATCTTGACAGACTCATGTTCAAAACCAGTCAAAATCCAACCATATAATAGAGAGTGGTGTGGTGGTGAGTGGGAGATGAGTCCAAGTTTGGAGTGTGAAGAAATAGGAGATGAGGCCAATAGGATGAGTTGAAGCTGTTTGGCATGGCCTGATGATTTTGTAGACTGCTACCTGACAGGATTCTTTGCCGTCTTATAGTCGATATCACTGTTGACGTCGCCAGCTGGCATCCCTGTTGATATCACTGTTAGCTTACCTGTTGATGTTACTGTTGACGTCGCCTGCTGACATCCCTGTTAATATCACGATTGTCAAATGTTCTCATCACTGCTAACAGGACTGTTGGTGTGACTACTAACAGGACCTTTGTTTCACAGGACCGCCTCTTACAGAGCAAATGAGACTGTACGAAGACATTATGTTGAGAACTCTGCTAGAAGGAGGAACATGAAGGAGAAGGAGGAGGAGGAGAAGGAACATGAAGGAAGGTAAAGAAAAAGATGCTGAAACAAGAGGAGGAGAGGAAGGAGGAGGAGCAGTAAGATGAAGACGGGTGATAGAAGAGGGAGGGAGGGCGGAAATTTGATAATAGTCAGAAAATGGGAAGATTTCCATAGCCCAAAAGACCTTTCCTGGTGTAGAAGGACCTGGTTGTAAAGCGACCATAATTGTGTCACGTTCCAGGGGGAAACTTAGTAGGGTAAGGGTTAATGGGGTTCAAGGTAACACTAGTTGGGTAAGACGTAAACCAGTTTCATAGAAATATAATTGGGTAAAGCTTAAAATAAAGCTGAGGAAAGGGGGACCTTCCAAGCTTGCGAACAAGAACTGACAGTCATCTGCTCTGTACCTTTGGGGTTTCCGGAACCTTTGCCAGCTAACAATTAATGACAGACGGAGTACGTTTTAAAGTTTCATACTTTATAAAGTTACATACTTTATAAACTTACATACTTTATAAAGTTACATACTTTATAAACTTACATACTTTATAAACTAACATACTATATAAACTTACATACTTTATAAAGTAACATACTTTATAAAGTTACATGCTTTATAAAAGTAACAAAAGGCAAGTTTATTGAAGCGAATTCTCAGTTAAATATTTCGAGCGAAATGAAGCAAAAACATAATGAAAATATGTAAAATGTGAAGGTAAGTAAATATACAAAAACCTTTAATATATATATATATATATATATATATATATATATATATATATATATATATATATATATATATATATATATATATATATATATATATATATATATATATATATTTTTATATTTTTTTTTTTTCTTAAACCTAGAAGGGGTACCACCTCTGGTGCAAGTGTAGGGACCCATAGCCTCGGAGAAGAAAATAAAGAGTACTCAGAGAAGACCTTGTGGATCCTCACTGAACACTTTGATATTTTCTTCTCCTACCACCACTATTCTTTTAGTATGTGTGTATATTTATCTAACTTTATTTGAAAATGTTATTACACAAAAAAGTTACAATATTGATACATGCAGGGTACAAGGCTACTTGTCACAAGTTGTAGAGCTCCTCCAGCTCCTCAGATGACGGGCAGGAACCATGGATGCAGTGAGCATTTCTTCTCTGGATTGCCACACTAAAGGCGCTGAAAAAGAAAACTCGCAGCTCTAGGGTCTCTAGTTGTTTCGATTAGCTTAGACCCCAACTCCTTCAAAAAGCTAGCAGCACTTTTACTCCAGGCACCAAGTGTCTCTGAGGCAATGGGGACAAAATTGTAGTGGTGCTCAAGGTCTCTGTATTTACGTGACTTGGCCGCTTCCCGGTGATTGGCAGCTCCTCCTGCTTGTGTAGCACTGAAGTCAACATAGGTATTGGCTGAAGTTGAAACTCAAGTGTAGTCCCACACAAACTGTCTACCATTCTTCCAGGGGTTCACCGTGATTCCGTCTGGGCGACCGACAGGCTCATCAGAATCGCGGGACATTAGGTAACGGGGCTTTCTCTCTGCTGGACAACCGGCTGTGGTAAGGCTTCTCTTAATAATGTCATTGACCTCACCGTGTCTTGCATGCCATCCTCATGTCCTTTGGTAGAGGGGCCATGCCGTCCGTATCTGTCGGCCTCTGCCTCGCCGCAAATACACCTGTATTCGGTGTGGATTGGGGCAGCGAGGCGGAGAGCCACGGCAATTCGGAGGGCCAGCGGTGTGAGACGGGTGCCGGTTGCTGACATTGGGGTTGCTAATAGGAAATCACCTGCATGGGGAGCTGATACAGCTCTAAGTCGGGCAGTGTCATGTGGTGTTGTCGCAGCTTCTAGCAAAGTCGCAGCTTCTTGGTCGGCAATGGGGCGATCCCAGCTGGATTGCTTATGGGCTTCAGAAGGCGGTGGTTGGTGTGCTGGTCCTGCGAGAGAGACCCATTTGGTTGTGCAGTCTGTGAAGCTGGGATCATGTACCCCTGCCTGTTGAACTAGGTGTACAGGTAGGATTTCCTTCACCAGGTTGTCAGACCCCACTGAAGAGGACAGGAACGCTGGTACAGCAATTTGTGTTGCTGTGCGCACGTCAAGGCCCCCGAGTCTGACAGGAAGGGAGGCCTGTTTCCACTGTGAGTCGCTGAGGGAAAGATTGAGGGCTTTTCTTGTGTTGATTTCAGCAAGCTGTCGTACTCTTCTAATTTAATATTGTTGGAAGGTGGCGAACATCTTAGAAAGTTGGTCAGCCTGGGGAGGGACAAGCATCTGGTGATGAGGTAAAGTGCATCATGAGCATCGATGTCTTCAATCCTCTCATTTATCCTCTTCAGGTCAGTGATCTTATCAAGGACCCCGTCGATGGCATTCCTTCCAAGAGGAGCACCTAGGAGTGTGCTGTCCTCAAGGGTTGGTTGTATGAATATCAGGCAAAACA